TTGCCTTGCATGCCTGAGGCCCTGGGTTCGATTCCTCAGCACCACATAAGCAAAAAGAAAAAAGCTGGAAGTGGCGCTGTGGCTTAAGTGGTAGAATGCTAGCCTTGAGCTGAAGAGCTGAGGGACAGCGCCCAGGCCCAGAGTTCAGGCTCCACGACTGGACCCCCCCCCAAAAAAAAGTGAAGTTATACAATATTTAAAATAAAACAAAAAACAATTTTGACTTTACTGTGTAGCTTCCTGGAGCCTGTAAAGAGTTTTGGCCTGAAGAAGGCCATGGAAAGGCTACGAGAGACCCAGAAAGCTTAGCCTGGTAACAGTGTATGAAATGGTGAAGAGGGAGGAACACTAGACTTTGATGAAGGAGATCACCTTGAGAATGAATTAGAGGCAACAAAAAGGAGGAACTCTGGTGGATTGACAATACAGAAATGAGTCAGGTGCCAGACAGGGAAAATTCCCTTTTTCCTCTTGGTCAGTAGCAATTATTGGCTTCACACTGCACGGGGGAGTGTAAGGATGAGGTGGACAGGGAAGAATAGGGGATCCTGGATGAATGAATCACATCCTCATACTAGCCAGATTGGAAGCCAGTGGGAAAGTGGAGACTTTGAGGCTGTTTTTTTTGTTTTTGTTTTTGTTGTTTTTTTATAAGCGAGGAACTTCTCTCTCCTGGTTTTAGGATGAAATTAATAAGAATAATGATTTATTTTGGTCATACTTCCCTTTTTTTCCTTTTTTGGCTGGGGAGGCGGTGAAAACCTTACCAGTGTTCCTGTCTGAATTACTTACATTAGTTAACATTGAGATGATATTATTATCATTTTTTTCTTCTTTTTTGGACAGCATTTGTAAATCTGATTGCTTTGAAAGAGCATCCCTGGGGTTAATTGCTATGGCCTGGGAAAACAACACTTTGAATTGTGGCAGTTTAATAAAAGTTAAGATTTAAAGAGCTTCTAAAGACATGTTAGTAGCAAAAATAATAAGAAAAGTAAACCAGAATAGAAAGTCACAATTGCTAGAGACTAGAGAGGTAAGCTTTGCTACTGGCTTAGGGATTGATTAAAATTGAACTTCTAATTTGTGGTAACGGCTATAACAAGCTCTTAGGGAAGTAAGTAAGGAAATAATAAAATCAAGAGAGGTGGTTTTAATTTTACTCAGATTTGTAGCTCTGCAGCTGGATCACAGGGGGGGAATAGGGACAGAGGACCCATGGCTGTGCGTCTCATTATGAAGGAGGCTGAACTCTCACCAGCGCTGGTGAAAATGAGAGGGGCGAAGCGGGAGCGGTGTCTCTAACAGTACTGCCTTCCTTTCTCCATTGTCAGAAGAGAAACATAATCTGAGAAGGGGTATCCATTATCTCTTTTTACAAAGGGATTAGTGTTGGTTGCAAGAAATTAATGGCTTTTGAGTTGCCACAGAAATACTAATGAATTCAGGGCCAGCAATGTATAAGCAGGTGAAATAGGCCTTTCTCTGCCTCATTTCTCTCCTTTTGTCTTTTGGTGTGCTAGTTTCAAATGGAGAATATTACTCATACCCTCTGTGATCGTGATCTGTGTTCTTAAGGGAATGATTCAATTAGTTTATGACCAGCTTCAATATGTGTCAGCAAAGAGATTGAGAAACATCCCAGAAATTAAAGTCTCTACCAGCCAGGATCCCTATTTGTGCTGATATAAGATGCCATTTTCATGTCTGATAAAAGTCTCGGGAAGTTGGGTATGGTGATGCACATGCCTGAAATCCAAGCACACAGGAGGACTGAGAGTTCCAGCCAGGGTTACTTAGTGAGACTCTGTCTCTCAAAAAAAAAAAAAAAGAAAGAAAAAAAATTGCTGGGCATCAGTAGCTCATGCCTATAATCCTAGCTACTCAGGAGGCTGAGATCTGAGGATTGCAGTTAAAAGCCAGCCCAGGCAGGAAAGTCTGTGAGACTTTCATGTCCATTAAACCACCAGAAAACTGGAAGTGGCACTGTGGTTCAAGTGGTAGAACACTAGTCTACAGTGCTCAGGCCCAGAGTTCAAGCCCCATGACCAAAAGGTGGGGGTGGGAGGAGAAGGAGGGAAGAGAATGAGAATATCAGGAAGCAACAGTCCCCTTTTGTTAAAGTACTAAACTAGTATTGAGTATAGCTTATCATGGATTAAAGATGACATGACTAGATAGACTTGTGAAGCCAAGAGGAAGAGAAAGAATTTTATCTACTCTGTGCATGGCATTGTGCTAAAATTTTTATTTCTAATTTAACAAGTACGTATTAAATTCCTGCTGTGTACTAGGCATTGTACTTACATGTGATATAAACATGAAAAGAGAGCTTACCTATGCAATAGGAAGATAGATCTTTACAAAATGTTCTGAATTTTATCTTACTTGCTTGGACATTTAAGTGAAGTATTGTAGTGTAGCCTGTGATAGAGGCAGAATGTCATGGTGATACACAATCCTGACCCAGGTGACATGTACAGTGAGATGGGGAGGGACAGGAGAGTCTTGATTCCCTTTCTGCAGGGAACTTGGCTGAAGCAGGAGGAAGGAGCATCGTAAGTTAAGGGAAGATCATGAGCACATTCAGGCTCTGAGAGAAAGCTGCTATCTGAGACCTGCCAAGTTAGCTAGTGAGGGTAAGCCTAGAGATGGTTACTAGACAGAAGGCCCATGAATTGGCAATCATGACATTCCAGGAGCACATTTCATACTTTATCCCTCACTGCTCTTTTTAGCTTTACCAACCTGAGGAATGACACAAGAATCATCAGAAAATTATACCATTATGTCATGTGATAGAGGGAGCATTCTCTCTCACGTTTTGATACTTCACCTAGAAAGCAAGGAATCCTAGCAATGTGACAGGACCTTAGACACATAGGGCATGGCTTGTCACTATTATTCCAGCATTTTGGTTTCTGCTCAGACTTCAGTGTTTCATATGGCCTTTGCATACTCCGTGCTTACTTTCACACTTGTTCAGCACCCTAGTTCAGTTTTTAGATGAGAATATTTCCTCCAGTTGCATCTTGCCATTAGGTATCATCCTGAGATTTTACTTTTGTTTAGTTTTACCAGAAAGATGTCAACCCCTGATCTTTTTGGTTTCAGGCACCTATCCTCTCCTAACAAATTAATAACTTGCTTCGTTTTTTTTTTTCTTTCTAGAACGTAAGCAGACATTCCCAAACATTTTGAAGAAGGGTTATCTGGAGATTAGAAAGGACCATGACAGTTACTGGCAAAGCTGTTACGCAGAACTCTCACCATACAACTTACACTTTTACAACCTCGACAGCAGCGGGAATCAGAACCTGTATGCCACATTCCAGCTTTCACACTTCCAGAACATATCTCTGTTGGGAAATCTTGAGGCCACAGTGGTGGATACTGTTCTGTATGACAACACACAGCTACAGATAAAGGCAGCATCGCCGTGGGAGGCTTTAGACTGGGGGCAGAAGCTTTGGGAAGTTGTACATGCCATTGTGCCTGGTTATATGGGACGACAGGATGAGCTGGCAAATTCACCAGCAGTTGGTCATGTTGATTGTACACAGAACCATTGTTTACAGAAGAAATCCAGTGGGTTGCTGCCCTCCTCCCCTGTCTTGGATAGCCCCAAACAGTACCAAAATATCCTCAAATCAGGGACACTCTATAGACTAACTGTCCAGAACAACTGGAAGGCATTTACATTTGTACTGAGCAAGGCCTATCTCATGGCTTTTCATCCTGGCAAGTTAGATGAAGACCCACTGCTAAGCTACAATGTGGATGTGTGCCTGGCTGTCCAGATAGACAATCTGGATGGCTGTGACTCTTGCTTTCAAGTCATTTTCCCCCAAGATGTCCTCCGCCTTCGAGCTGAGACCCGACAGAGGGCTCAGGAATGGATGGAGGCTCTGAAGACAGCCGCCAATGCAGCCAGGAATTCAGAGCAAAATCTGCAAGTCACACTGAGGAACAAACCCAAGGATACGACGGGTGGACATGAGCTCAGGAAGAACAAACGTCAGTCTGTGACCACCAGCTTCCTAAGCATCCTGACGACTTTGTCTTTGGAACGAGGACTCACTGCTCAGAGTTTCAAATGTGCAGGTATGTTCAGCCTGAAGAGCAGTCCTGAACCTCATAATTGCAATTCATTATTAAAACACTCTCAATAAGGCAATCATAGATGAAAATGCATGTTTTAAAAAAGCATATTATTTGTAAAGAGCATTTTTATTTGAAGAAGGTATATATATATATATATACATATACATATACATATATACACACACACACACACATATATATATATGCGCACCTATCTTAAACCAGGCACTAGTGGCTCATGCATGTAATCCTAGCTACTCAGGAGGCTGAGATCTGAGGATGTGGTTTGATGCCAGCTCATGTGGAAAGTCTCATAAGACTCTTACTTCCAATTAACCACCAGAAAACTGAAAGCTGTGGCTCAAAGTGGTAAAGTGCTAGCCTTGAGTAAAAGAGCTCAGGGACAGTGCCAGGCCTGAGTTCAAGCCCCACACTGACCAAAAAAAAAAAAAATCTTATCAATCCTCATGCCATTTTGGCAAAGTAAATAGAAGCAGTTGTGTATGATATCCCACTGAATCAAAATGACATGGACAAAGGCTTTCCAGATTAGCACTTAGGATTTCTGGGTCATCTGTGATTCCATTTCTTCTGCTTTAAAGGTTACTGTGAGTATGGATGTCACAAATTAGCTCAGGAGTTAGCTCAAAGCTAACTCACCTTAGGCAAAGCAAATGTCCATAGTCAGTAACTGTCATTGATCATGACCTTGTCAAATCCTGTTAAGGTAGACTCCAGAAAGTCTGTCTTGACAGAAGATGTGTAGTTGGCTAAAAGCAGGGCAGATGATTATTCATCAGATGACTCCTGAGTCACAAGATTCTGTGTTTGCCTCATCCAGGAGAAGCCCAGGGCTTCTGGTACTGCTGCATAAATGTGAGACACAAAGTGGAGCTCAAGGTCAATATGAATATTACAGCTTCTCTCCACCCTCCATCCTTCCTACCCAAAGAGGAAAAAAGCTAATCAAAATTGCTTTCCTTTCACTAACTGCCACAAATTGTAGAAATATATTATCAAAGTAATCTGAAGCCTGACAAGGTTTTAATTCATGTAGATTATACTTAGGTATGTTAATTAAATCTGAACAAAAAGCCCCATGATTTTTTAAAAATTTTTGGTATTAATACTGGAGCTTGAACTTGAGCTCTTGCTTAGCTGTTTTGTTCAGTTTGTTGCTATACCACTTGAGTCATCATCCTTCCTCTTCTGGCTTTTGCTTGTTAGTTGAAGTAAGAGTCTCTCAGATACATTGGCCGGGGCTGGCTTAGAACTGCATTTCTCACATTTCAGCATCTTAAGTAGCTAGGATTATAGGCATGAGCCACCGTTCTTGGCTTCAAATTTTAAATTTTGTTCTTCTGCATTGAAAAAAAAGCTAAATGTGATGACAAAATGAAAATCCATGGTGTAAGTCTAAGTTTGTTTTGATCATGGTCTTTTTGGTTGAAAACTAATCTGAGAGGGTGAGAGTGATCAAGTGGGTCATCTTTGGTTTGTCTAGAGGGTTCCAGTGACTATGGGGTAGAGGGATTGGGGAGGTGCAAAACCGAGAGCCACTTAAGAAGCCATACTAGATTATAAGTGTGTCTGACAAACCAGCATTCAACAGTAACTAAGAGCTTACTCTGGACAATCTTTAATTATGATATACTTTGTGGTATTATATTGCTGATTGGGTCAACAGATCTGAGGTGTTATTGGAGTAGAGCAGAATAGCTCAGCTTAGTCCTCAAGTCCTGAGTTATTTAAATTAAGATAAATAGAAAATAAGTGAAGAAGTCTTAGGTGCTACACAGCATTGTCACCTAGTTTGCCCCAGTCTCAGAAGTTCGTTGAAGAGTTTTCATTGCCCGTGTTCTGTACTACATTGAAAGTGATCTTTCTTAACACTTGAAGGGAGAAGTGGCAGGTAGAGCAAGCCCATGGCATCTAGTAATTGATGAAATGAAAATAGGAAAAAGTCAGAGGCAATAAGAGCTAGAGAGAAGAAAACTAAGGAAAAAAAGAAGAGGAAAGGATTAGATATTGAGCAGGAATAGAACGTTCTGGAAGCTGCTTTAGGTTCCGTGTGCTAGAATACCTCCTTTTGCTGTCTAAATTTGGAGCTCACTAAATGTGACTGATTGGAGGGAAATAGAAGGGAACCAGGAGATTATGGGTTTCAGATCTGAAATCCATTTGCTGTATTCAGTGTTTAATAGGTTTTGCTTGGAACACTACTGGGGCCCAGGGAAGTTTCTGAGTTGGGTGGAGAGATTACTAATTTGTGTAAGTGTGACATATTCCAAACAAAACCAAACTTATTTCATTTAACTATTCTCTCTTCCATCACAGAGTGCTGTGTTCAGTTGTTACATACTACTTACTGGCTTGCTTTTCACATATGAAATACTGTTTTTTTGTCTCAGGTAGAAATACTTTTTTTCCTGTAGGGGGCAGAGTCTCAAAAGAAAAAGGCAAAAAACTTCTTAAAGCAAACCTCTGAATGTTTTTTAAATTACTCAAGAGACTGTTCATTATATCAGAAATTATTATAGCAGATGGAAAGTTAAAATTAATCTATTCTTCTCACAAACACTGTTAATTTAAACCAGCTGCCTACCTTTTGTACCTATCTTGTCTTAACTTGGTATTCCCATAAAATACACAGTGAGGAAGCTGCTTGCAAAGCGTGTTTACCTCACAAAATGTCAATAACAACAACAAAAATTCCAGGACATTGCTGTTAGTAAATTTGAGGTTTTAATACTATTTTAATAAGAATAAATTTATAGTATTTCATTGATAGAATGTAATCTTTAGATAGAAGCTTTTATGTTTGGTTAGTCTCTCTCCCCCTTTAAATATCTTGGATGAATAAATGTTAAAAGTAGAAGAGTAGTTCTTTATTATGATGTCATTCAGTTGCTATTCAGGGAAGCCACAAATGCTGGCTTTTAAATCTGTGAAATAGTATAGTTGGCCTTCTTTCACTAAATTCTTTGTGTAAGGGAAGAGTTTTCTATATCTTTTAAAATTTAAAGAGCTCCTACAGAGAAAATGGCCCATGAGTATTAAAAAGTGGCTGAAGTTATGGTTTTGAAAATATATACTGATACGTATCTGCATAGACTTTAACATATGCTTGGGCTTATGTGTGATTGTTCCATGGCTTTCTCTCTGTGGCTGTTATGCTTAAGAAGTCCCTGCTACTGTGGTCTGTGTTTCTGGAACTTACATGGTTTTACCTGCCTTCCTGTGCCTTTCTTTATACTTTCTTAGTCCTGAAATTTGAAAATTGAATTCTGTTATTCATTCAGAAATTTGGATATGCCTAGAGTCATGAGTCAGCATTTTGGGAAATTAGATGTGGTCTCTATCTATCCCCTTGGCACTTGGAGCCTTAGGAAGACAAGAAGTTGCTTATCAAATAATTTTATCAGTAACTGTCAGATGGCAGCTGTGACAGGAGCTGCAAAGGTGAAGCTCACATTTCAAATTAGAGAACAGTGGGAGGTAGTGCCAGGTGGAACTGTATGATTGTGATCTTCAATTATTTTGGGCCTATTGAAAACAAGGGCAACCAACTGTGGTGGTGGTGCATGCCCAGATCTCAGACTCAGGAGATTAGAGGCAGGAGAATTGTGAATTGAGTCCAGCCTTGGCTCTGTAGTGAGACTGTCTCAACAACAACAACACACATACACACACACAACTACCTACAACTAAAATTAAAAAAAAAAAAACAAAACAACTAGGCAGTTGATAAGGTAGAACTTAATGTTTGTCACAAAGGGGGGGAAGCACCTGCTAGGAATGTACTAAAGCCCTGCTAACGGGGTGCTGTGCACAGTACAGCTTTTGAGGGAGCACCTCTGCGTACTTTAATGACAGTCCTGCTAATGGGGTGCTGTGCACAGTACAGCTTTTGAGGGAACACCTCTGCAGTACTTTAATGAAAGCCCTGCTAACGGGGGGCTGTGCACAGTACAGCTTTTGAGGGAACACCTCTGCAGTACTTTAATGACAGTCCTGTTTAGAAGTTAGAATTATGTTTGGGAACAGAAAATCTGTAATGTTAAAATATTAATGCTTAAAACAAATGATTATGCTGCTTACTAAAATATTTACAAACTTTGTATGTATCTGAAAGTGGTTCTGAATTAGGTTATTTGAAATGCTGTATAAATTAGCTTTTCAGGCAGCAGCCCTATTTTCTTTAGGAATTTGACATGTGTACCTATCTGGATTTAACAGATACATGGTTTTAAAAGACACATTGTTTTCTTGGCACTGCAACACACACACACACACATACACACACACTTTCCCTGTAACACACACACACACACACACACACACACACACACACTTCCCTGTAATGTCCCAGCAATCAAGAAACCTGGCAGTTGAGTATAATAAAAAGGCTAGGACTTTGTTTATAGGTGTGAGGCGATGCAAAGCTACCTTTGAAACTGTCCCTTGTGTGCCTGTGTTGTAATCTGGACATGGAATTGGATGGCTCACTGTGGGGCCATGTGCTTGAGTATGAACTGAAATAAATGAAAGGGAAGGAATCCCCCCACCCCCATCCCCACCCACTATAGGGGTGGATCTCAGAGATCTCCCTATACCATTTTCACTGGTCAGTTCTGATGGTTTTACTCTTTGGCTGCTGTTTAACCTCTTGGGACTGCTGTTGGTAATTACTTTTTGCTGGCATTAAGAACTTTTGCTTTCCCTTTTCTTCCCCTCTAGCACCTGGGGGAGGGGGTAAAACGGGTGGGGGGGGGAGTTTTGCTGTGAATTCTTCAGCCATTTAGTGCAAATTCCTGTAATTACCAGCATTGTGTCTTTTCTGAATGGCACATAATACAGCAGAAGCCATTCCTAATTGAGACCTTACAGGAGGTACAAATCCCCTCTTTGTTCAGCCTGACAAATTAGTGCCAGAAAGTGGCAGGGTCCGAGTGGGAATCAAAGGCAAGAAACACAAAGATGGAACTTAAGGCTACAGT